GCCATGATGTTGATCCGTTGTTCAAAAACCTCAGTCTACACTTCATTCATTCAACGTCATGCAGGTTTTTCTGACACAGAAATAGAGCAACTTTTTCTGTGAAGTCAGAAATGCAAATAACTAACTAACTAACAACTGATATGACGAGAGGGACAAAGGACCATAGGTAGTTCAAGAATAAGAAAAGAACATCAGAAAAAAATCCACCTAGTCGAGAAGAGTTAGAACCAAAACCACGTATCTTCCTCGAAACTCAACACAATAGAAGAGGAACTAAAAATATTTAAAAAAAAAAAAAGCAATTTTCCTGAAAAAAGGGAGAACATGCTGACCTCGGTGAAAGGTGCAAAATTTGTTAAATGGAGTGATGTTGATTACATCAACAACAGAGTGCCGACTGGTCTATAAAATACCGGTCTAGCCCTATGTTCCCAAAATGCTTAAAAGCGCAGAAAAGGGTCCTTACTTTACTTTCTACCGTTTTAATAATTTAAAAAAAATTAGAATTCACAGATATCCTAAAAAACACAAATTGAGCAAACAAGAATATTTTTATTCACAACAGTTCATTATAAAGCACCAGACAGTCATAAACACAATACAAAAGCATAGCTAACTTAAGACTGGATATACAACTTATTCACATGTTTCATTCTATTTTTTAAGCCCTGTAACAGTTCTATGGATGGCAGTAATTATGTTTTTTGATTTGCCAGCCATTGCCCTAGCCTACTAAACAAACAGAACATCAAGGCTATTGCTAAAAATAATGATTTTTTTTTTCAATCATTATAATTTACAAATATCAGAAAATGAATTGTTTTTAATGTGAAGGCAAATAGTTACTAAATATAAACAGAGAAAGAATCGACTGCTTTATTTTCCTTTGACCATATAGACCATAATAAACATGGTTTTGTGAGCGTAGCAAAGTGAGACAATTAAGAGATTATTATAACATCACAAATGGCTTCATAATTTAACAAAAATGTCTTTTCTACTCCAAATAATACCTCAATTTTTGTACAGAGGGGGTGGGGGAGGCATATGGGGGTAGTGACCACTGCCCAAAGACATAATTTCAGCAAAATACAGGAGGAAAGGGGGAAGGAGGGGGGGGGGGGAGGCTTTCTCAGGGTAACTGGGTTATTGAGCTGGTTCTTCTGCCTGTTGTTTGCCAATAGAACACAGGTCTGCAAACAACACATGCCCTTCATGGCACTTACTTATTCCTACAGATAGAGGTCGTTAAACTGAATATGACAGTCATAGAGAACAGAACTAAATTATCTTTTGAAAAATGGAAAAGCGATAAAACATGTTCAGGAACTATTTGCAAGTTTTATGACTAAGTAACATGAAATAACGGTACTGTAGGGTTTATTATATATAGAGTTTACTGTATACAAATGTCAGTGAACTATATAATTCTCTGATACGAATTATATACTTTCTTAATGGCTTCTGCTGTGATTTAAATAAACTGACAATTTCAAACTAACATATTTTTGTTTCTGCTGTTGTTTGATCATAATTTTGGATGGAAGTTGTTACTGTTTGTTTGGAGTATAGTAGCAATATTTGAGCAGTTTGCCTGACAAATCTTACTTCTTCAGATATTTATTTTTAGGATTAGCCTTGTCTCGCTGTGTCTTCATCCTTCCTCTATAATTCACGGGTAGTGCCCTACAGCAGTCTCGTCCTGGACACTGCATGCATGCTAGTATGCAGGGGAATAACAGGGGCATTCCCTACCTTTCAAGGTAGGGAGGTGGAGGCGGTAACTGCAGCTCTCAGGTGGCTAGAGAAACAAGATGCATACACATGTCATAATTGTAACAGACTCTGAAAGCATGCTGAGAAAGGTGAAGACAGGGATGCTTCGAGCACAGTATCAAGTTTCACTGAGAAGGTCACTTGTAGGGAGCATACTTTGGATCTTTTCTCCAGGCTATGCCAGCGTAGTGGGTAATGAACTGGCAGACAGATTGGCTGGATCTACACTAATGGGTGGTGAGCTGATACACGACAAGGCAGATGTGGTCAAGGCCCTTTGAGAACAAGCAGCGGATTCAGTAGAGAAACAAGATTATTATGGTCTAGAGAGAATGAGGCACCTGGGTGTAACCAGAGGGTCTGGCCGGCTCACTACACTCAGAGGAAAGGCAAGATAGACATATAACCAGATTGCGACAGGTACCATAAGTATTGGAACTCTGCGCTGGCTGCTGAAGGTGAGGACGGAGCACACATGGGAATGCCCCGAGTGCTGTGATGTCAATTCTTGACTTACTCAAGGAAACTTCTAGAAATGCAGAGCTTTTACATGGCACACTGGTACGGGGCTCACCCAAGGAATCATTATGTCTGTGCATGACTGCTTAACCTCACTTACATACACTGAGCCTTCCCATACCCACATATACATACAGTCACACTTGTACTAAATGTGTTAATTAAAATACTCCATTAGTTTGAAAAGGTTCCACACATTAAAATTATGTCGTAACACACATACATTGTCGGGACAAAAGCCATCAAAGTGAATCTGTAGAATTATGGAACAGGCATTCAAAGTTCAGTCATCAGTCAATTTTACGTAGGATGGTCTAATCATGGTAGCCGTGGCAGGTTCAAAGGGCTTGGGTTTGAACCTTCCAGCTCTGTTTGGATTTAAACCCATGATCTTTGGATCCATAGGTGAGTGTCTAGCCACTACACCAGGGCAACTTCCTGCAATTCTGCAGAGGAAACAATTTAAACAAGAAACGGGTGCACCATATTTGAGAAAGAAAATTAAACCCTCCAATGACAAACAGATGTGCACATTCAATGTAAGAAAAAAGTGTTATACAGAAATAAAATCACAATTATACATACTTTTACTTTTAAAACCTTTAGTTAATTTTTTCAGCACTCAGTAACTCACCATGAGTTCATTTTCCCTTTGCAAAGTATGGTTTTCTAAACTGCTTGTTTCTAACCCAGTTATTATTTCTTTTTCGTAGAATGTTGAATTATGAATCAGCATCATAGCACTCGGGACACTCCCATACACGCTCCGTCCCTCATCTTCAGCAGCAAGTGAAGAATTCCAATTCTGACTGCACCAGTAACTATCCGACTGTATATCCGTCTTGTCTTTTCCTTGAGTGTTGAGCGTCAGCCAGATCTTCTGGTAAATCCTCTCAGCGACATTCTCCTCAGACCGTACTGATCTATTTGTGCCTCTGACCTGTTCACTCGCTCCCAAAGGGGCCCTCACAACATGTAGCTACTCGGGACCTCTGAAGCAATGCTTGCCACTCTGCATGCACTCTGTGCGTGATACCCTAGCCCATCGGCCCAACTCACTGGAGCTTCGTCCTCAGATGCAGCAGTTATCTCAGTGTCTCCGTCCTCTGATGCAGCAGTCATCTCAGGGTCTCCATGCTCTGATGCAGCAGTCATCTCAGGGTCTCTATGCTCTGATGCAGCAGTCATCTCAGTGTCTCCATCCTCTGATGCAGCAGTCATCTCAGGGTCTCCATGCTCTGATGCAGCAGTCATCTCAGTGTCTCCATCCTCTGATGCAGCAGTCATCTCAGGGTCTCCATGCTCTGATGCAGCAGTCATCTCAGGGTCTCCATGCTCTGATGCAGCAGTCATCTCAGTGTCTCCATGCTCTGATGCATCCAGTAGAAGCTGACTAGCGTATCTTCAATCTTTGCACTGTAACAAGCTTCTGCTTCTACATGCTTGTCCTTGCTTAATACCCACTTCCAACAGGCGGTTCAATGACTCTGACTTCTTAGTCTTAAATAAGGGGGCTGCGTGGTCTCGAGGCATGTGTTTGCCTCGAGTGCTAGAGGTTCCGGGTTCAATCCCCGGTAAGAGTTTGGATTTTTGATTTGGACTTCTAGTAATTCCTCCGGGTAGTCAAATCGGACGCCTGTGTGCATTGTTGCACACGTAAAAAAATCCCCTGGCAGTTGGAAATTGAAAAGAGTAGCCTAACAGCACTGCCCGGGTAAAATTTGGAGTTAAAAAATCTACCCAAAGTATTTCAGGATCCTCGCCGGTGCTACAGAGCCTGTGCACTATGCTGAGCTTCTTCAGACTCAGACTTGAGTTAGAAGACGAACGGAGCACTTATTGGTTACTACCCATGTGCCTTGATGTTGATCTGCTGTTTAAACTTCAAACTTCAAGTCTCAACCTCTCTGGAATGCAGCACATTAAGTATTGTTTGTCATTTCCATACTTCTTCCTCCACTAACTGTAGACGCGGCCAGTCTATCAGCTCTTGTATCTCCTTATAACAACCCAGTTGTTATATTAACCCTTTTAGGACCAGAAAAACTTATGAGGTTATACAAAGATTTCCTCATTAAAATGATTTGTTACGTATCTGTGTGACATACACCACCACATGAAAATAATGTGTAGATTATATCTACAGAGTTTCAAGAGATACATATCCTCAATGGGTGTAGAGGTTTGAAAATCAACTCAATAAAGATTACTAACATGTGCATGCACACACACATATTTTAATCTAGCAACACATGTCCCATGGTCATGACAGAGTTCACCCTCACTACTTGACATTGTCCCCTTATAGATACATCTATCAGTATCAGTGGCTCAGGGTTTGTGAATGCAATTACACAATCCGGACATACCAGGGTTTGGAGACAGACAGCTGCAAGCGATTTGGTAGCAGCCCATTTTCCTTTTGATACTGACAAAAGTATGAGTGCCTTACCATTTAGAAAGTGATGGCAAACTAATGAACATAAAATGATCTAGTAAAACTACACAGCAGCTTATAAATTCTGGCGTTAATTTGTGAGGAACTGAAGAGGATATGCATCTAGCTTAGATGTACCCATAATGTGTTTCAAAGAACAATAATTTGAGACCGGAAATAACAAATTAAAGTAAAACAATCTAGTACTTGAAAGAGTTTAGAGACTGGTCTGTATGTAATGGGGATGGCTGTCATGGTCTGTGCTGTGTTAAGTAGCTTTCTTGGATATCATTACATAGCTTGTCAACCACCACATTAGACAAGGCTGCACCAACGATATTGACAATATCATGTAAAGGCTTCTCTTAGCCCCCTTGGTGAGGCTGTCATTACTTTGATGTGGCATAATCTGAATCTTGAGAGTTCGCATCTGGGGAAAATTCAGAAGTCATCAAGCTGCTGTCATAGAATATGAAGCACAAAAATTTAAAGCTTATAAGTTCACGACTCACAAGACACTTAACTGCAAGCCCAAAGGTCTTGGGTTTAAATCCACAGCCATCGCAAGTGTTTTTCAAAACTGAGTTGAGCTCCCAGGCCAATCTAGCCTAAAATGGGTACAGAGTAATGTCCTGGAAAGTAAAGGTGGCTTGTATGACGTTCACCACAACACCCAACTGATCTTCTTCTTCTTCTTTATGTTCACCGGCTGTAAACTCTAGCAGAAACGTCTGATTGTTAGACCACCTCTGGACTTGAGTCTTGTTCCAAAACCTGGAGTGTTGCATGCACATCAGTTTTACAGATCAGACTTTTTGTATGCAGACAGTTGGTTCTTTGCCTTTTAGGCAGATGCACTCTTGACTCCAAAGCAAGCCCTCAATTAGTCAAGGAAAGACATAAAACCGAATGAAAAGTATATCAGCCAAATTCACCCTATTAGTCAACTCTTACGACATACTTGTTGGGTCTGATTCTTGTTTCCCCAACAATGGGGCCCCCGAACCTACACAAGGAGATCTGTAAAAATTAGTCCAGTATCATATTCCTGATGTGCTACTACCATAACAAGAATCCTTCACTTCACTTTATATGAGCTTATGTCAGCCGAGGTAGTGTGCAGTGGCTAGCAGTTTTGACTGTTGGCACAGTGGCAATTCCCATCAAGTCAGATTTGTAAAAAGCCAACTTTGGTTGACTCCTGCTTCTTCATCTAGAGTTTGGTGTGCGTATCCATTTTACAGATCTGGCTTATTTGTTTGCCAGCTGTTGGTTCCTTGCTTATTAAGTATACACACTCTGACGCTGAAGGAAACGTTGATCCTATCTATGCTGGACAGATCTCCAGCTGGGAACCTGTTTCTGGAATCAGCACGGAGAGGTGTAGGTGTGTCTTAACTAGTTTGAGTCCTGGTTCCTAGCACACCACCATGTGTGATTCAGCATCTCTGCATCCCAAGCAACATTTGAGATAGTGGTTGCTTCTGATAACCAAACCTCTTTTCATGACATGCTTGCTGAGGTAATGCAAAATTACTTGGTAAAACCACAAACATCTAACAAATGCTGGGTTGGGCAGCCAAAACTGCCTTTAAAAAATAATTAGGGGGTTTTCCCCTCACAGATAGAATGCTGAAAGGTGAGAAACCAAGAGTCTGCACACTAATAAGACAGATCTGTATAACAGATGTGCATGTAAACTTCATTTCTAGACCAGGACCAAATATCAGAAGTCGACAAACAATCATAACTTACCCTCAGTTTGCAGCCACTGAATGCTAAGAAGAACAAGGAAATGCAAACAGTCCACAACATTGTCTTTAACCGTAATTACAGCACTATCTATTTAAACCGTACTCACCAGAAATACTACCAGCGATATGCAGAACCACAACAACACACAGTAGTACATTCCTCTACCAAAGCTAATTCCTGCTAGTAAACTGACTGTCATCCTGGGGACATTTCATTTCAGTAAAACATTCATAAAGTGAGGGGAAAAAAAAAAGGAGGTGGGAGACCGCAAGATAAAGTGGCAGCATGAGATGAGACAGAACAAGAAATATAGAGACCGACTGAGAGACAGAACAAGAAAGACAGAGATAGGCAGTTAAACAGAAAGAAAGATTACAGATAAATGGAGATCACAAGAAACGGAGAAATACTGACACTCAGAAAGACAGTAAAACAAAAAAAAATAAAGCGAGAAATGCATACATACATATACTGAGACTAACAGACAGAAAGAAAGAAAGAGACAGACAGAGAGAGAGGTAACATCCACAGAGGCAAAGGCAGAGATACTGAGACAGATAAAAAGGAAAAAAAAAAAAGGACCTTTTTCGACACCTTCAGACATTTAGGACTAGACCTATATTTTATAGACCTGTTGACAATCAGTGGGTGATGTGATCAACATCACACCACCCGCCTTTGCTTCCCAGGACTTTATCTGGTACCAACTAAAAGCTGAGTAAACCTAGGAGCCAGGTAATTTGTGAAAAAAAAAACTTTTGACCCTGCCAGGACCTAAACCCACGACCTTTGGATCTGTAGGTGAGCATCTAGCTGCTACACCATGGCACTCCTACTGAGAAAACAGCCAGTAGGTAAACACGAATATAAAAATCTGCATACATATATCTAAATACTTGAAATGTTTGCAACATAACTGCTTAATTCTTCTTCTTTTTCTCCATGTTTACCAGCTGTAAACTCAGGCGGAAAGTTCTGGTTGTTCATCCACTTCTGGACTGCAGTCCTGTTACAGAACCTGAGTGTTGCCTGTGCATCCATTTTACAGATCCGACTCATTTGTATGCAGACTGCTGGTTCCTTGCCTCTCAGGTAGATGCGCTCTGACTTGAAAAGAAGCTCCACAATAAGTTGACTTATGACAGGCTTTTGGGTAGGCAGTGGGGCTATTTTTTTCCCCCCTACAATGGGGCCCCGGAAACCCAAACGGCGAACTGCTTAATTTTAAGTGATGATACTGGATAACCAAAAAGTAATCAACACAACCCAAAATTGTATTAAGATTTATACTTTTTAAATAAAACTGTCTTTACTGACTGTACTACCACGTGTGTTAGGGCAGTGTAGAACACATGGATGGGGGCAAGATTCCTTGAGCATTGAGGTTTTCGGTGGTGGTCTTAAGCCTGGATATTTAGGGATGTGTGGCTGGTGTAAATGCAACTGTGTAGGTTAAAATGTTTTTTGTGTGGTCCTGACAGCAACAACAACAAAAAACCGTCTATTATCTCATTGAGAATTCAAACCCTTATTATAATTAAAAACAATTACACTCAAAAGAAAGATGTAGTGACCAAATGGAAAATGCAGCAGAGAAAAGAATTTCAAAGACATTTACTGATATATAGACACCTTCAGAAAAGCAACAATAGAAATCAAACAAAAACGTCCTTCCCCGCCTCATCAGAAAACAAGTGAAACTCATATCAGTCCCAGCAAAGTATATGCATATGGCAGCTGTCAGATGTGCCAACAGTAACAGTCCCATACCCCATACCAGAATCAGTGGAGCTGATTGTTATCTTCTTCTTCTTGATCGCATTCACCAGCTGTACATGAAAGTTCTGGTTGATCGTCCACTACTTACTGCAGTCCTGCTCCAGAACCTGAGTGTTTGTGCATCAGTTTTACAGATCTCATTTTCTTGAATACAGACTCAGCCTCCTTGCCATTTTACTCCGTGCTCCCCAAAGTCGACTCTTACACAACTTTTGAAAGCTCACAACATAAAGCCACCATGGGCACAATAGAAAAACATGAAATCCACAGCTCACAGTGTCGCAGCAAGCATTCAGCTCAGAAGATGGGTGACAGAACCTTTGTACCCCTGGTCTAGGAATGAAAAATTTGCACCAGCAAAAACTTAGAAACAAATTAATTTTTGAAGCAACAGTGGCCAGCCAATTATCACCCATTTTGGACCAGAGCCCTTTGTTTAGAGTGAAGAACATATGGTAAATGTTCTTTAGCAGTAACTACCATTAAAGTTCACAGTGTTAACCCTTTGCATCTTCTAGGCTGTGACATACATAGTGGGGCTGATTAGCTTTTGTGCTCACTGCCTTTCGTTCCCAGACAATTTCCAGAAAGTTTGAAAATTGTACGATACATATTGTTTATAAGGCTGGCTAACCCCAGAGCTGTACTAAATTGTAATTTTATTTGGTAAATACTGGGGCTCAATTTTTGAGGCTGCAAAGAAAACACACATTTTACCCATTACCCCCTTATCAAGCATGCCATAAACCCAACTATAAAGAGATTAGCTGAAACTGGATGTGTTATGTCAAAAGGATAAGATATCACAGCCTAGCTGTAAACTACAGCACAATGCACCATCTGCCTTTCTAACTCATTGAGTAACAAGCAACTCACTTTGCGTTTGTTGGTTTCGACTGGCATGATATATTTCTCTGAACTCCTTATGACCCCGCCCATTCGCTATATTAATACAATCTGCATAAATTCTTATTTCAGTTGTTGTTCTTCTTCTTCTGCACTCATCCGAAGATGTAATTGCATTGTGTCTGTTTACAGCATGGCTGCGATATTTGCACCTTTCGGTCAACACATCCGACTTCTACAGGCATTTGTTGACCGGGTTAGCCTTCCCCGTATTTCAATTGTTCTATTTCACACTGTTATTTATTATTTAACTCCTAAGACAAAAACACTAATTATGTAAAGTATCAAATTTGTGGAACAGGAAACTCTAAATTATATAGTTTTAGAACCAAGGTACCTATTTTCAATTCTAATATTTAAGTTTTAAAATAGATGCTAGTGGAGGTGGAGAACCACTATTAGTATGAAGCTAAAGTAAATGTATTCAAAAGCTAATGCCTGAGAAAAGTCATGATCATAAAATGGTATGGATTTAAGAATGGAGAAATAAGAGAAATGTCAAATGTCTAGGCAACCACTAGTGTCAACAACGGCCGCTGAATCGTCTCAAGGTATGGTGTCCGCCTCGAGTGCTGGAGGTTCTAGGTTCAAGTCTCGGTGAAGGCTGGGATTTTTTCACGTGGACCTCTAGTAATTTCCGATGGTCTCTGGGTAGTAAGATTGGACGCCCGTGTGTATTCTAGCGCACGTAAAAAAATCTCTTGGCAGTTGGAAATCGAAAAGAGTAGCCTAATGGTGCTGCTGGGGAAAAATTAAAAAGGGTTAAGGGCAAATGCAGCCTTGACACACACCAACAGCAGCAGAAGAAGAAGAAGAAAATACTTGGTAACTATCCTGGTCAGAAAGGCCCACTTAACTAACCATTAGGACTCGGAAGAACCTAATGCTTACCCTACAAACTTGTAACTGCAATAGGCGATGATATCCAGGTACTTCAGGGAGGTGTTCAAGTTCAGGATGTAGAGACTAAGTGTGAAGGCTACCAGTTCAATAATCAACCAGACTAACGCAGAACTTGCCTGCCCCCCTAGCTGCTCTGGGGTAAACCTGTGGATATACCAGGTTATAAAATTAAAGGGACAGCAGGAAAAGAAGGGTAGTAAGTAAAATAAAGTAAACGACCCGTTTCCAGGACTAGACCTAAATTTGTATAGACCAATCGGCACAAGATAGAGGGGCAGTAACTTAAGTATAAATTAACACAATCTGGCAACAACCAGCTATTTAGTTTTAAAAATACATCCTAGAATGCAATCTTTATTCCAAGTTTAGGTTACTAGCGACTGCATAGAAAATCGAAATGAGTTTTTGGGAATGAGGATATACAGAAGAATAAGTTGCATTTCATGGAAACAAAAAAGTCCAATAAAAGGTTCTGGAAAGGCTACAAACGAAAAGAGAATTACTAAAATTAAAAAAAAATTATAAAAGACAATAAAAAAAATGTAGTCACATTAAAGACATGACATGTTTTTAAAAACCATTTTATAGAGGGAAAAGTTGAGGGCTAAAGAGCAAGAGGTACACAACATTACAAGTGGGAGGACAACATTAAGAGATGGATGAACAGCAGTCTGAGAGAGTGCACAACCATTACCAAGACAAGGAATACAGTGTATTGGAGATCCATTACAGCCAATCTTCAATGTGGAGATGGCACCTGGTTGATCACAATGATGATCAGACTTGAATAATAACCCTAACCACTTGTAAAATTAGATGTCTGAGAAAGTAAGTAAAGTAAAGTAAAGGACCCTTTTCCATGCCTTAAGGTGTATAGGACATACAGGGCTAGACCAATCGGCACAAGATAGGTGATGTGGTCAGCATCATGCTGGCCGCCTTTACTTTCCCTGGGACTGCATCGGTACCCACTCAATGCTGGGTCGACCTGGGATGTCTGAGAAAGGCTGTGGACAAAACCAGGAAAGATCGTGTGAGAAATGAAGAGATTAGCAGAACTACTGGAAACATTAAATTCACAAACAAAAACATGAAAATGAAAACACCAAAGAGCAGAGAGAGACCTAGAAGCTTGTGGACTGATGTAGCCACAGACAGCCTCCTAAGACCTCACAACATAGCAAGCAACTTAAACTGTTATTTTATCTCTTTTAGCTTAATTTATTTTTTATTACAGTACATTTTAGACCTAACATTTAATAGTTAAAAAAAAAAAAAATAAAGACAAAATCACTAGAATGGAATGAGCTCAAGTAACTGACAGGGACTAAAAACATTAACAGAGAACAAGCAGCATAAATACTGTTTACCATCAACTGACAAAGATTACTACAACACTCACCTTCCTTGTATTCCTAATACCATTCCAGCAACTAAAATGTATGTTACAAATGCCATCACTGAAATAGTTTTAGATATTTGTTATCACAAGTATTTATGAATTTTGCTTTGCAAAAATTCAATCGACTGAGGTGACAAAGAAGGAGAGTTCTCAAGAACTACTGTATAGAGAACCAAACCTAATCTTAGTCTTAGTCGAGGTTTCAACTTCACTGCAATCAGGTTTACCCAGACTTGCTCCATTCCTGTGTCAGTGAAAATCAAATGAAATATCCCTCTCTGTCACATTTTAAAAACTCGTGAACAAACAATTAGTCCCAGAACAATTTAGAAATATGCGCACGCAGTAAATGCATGTGGCAGTTGCTAGAGACGCCAAAGCCAACAGTCACCACCAGAATTGTAGTTTAGTTTGTTGCTAATGGAAGTAGTCGGGCAAGATGAGTTGGCTATACACACGTAGAATTGTTACATAAGATGTATCACCAGCTCACACATAAACCGGCTACCAACCATACTGAATACCATAACACAACCGCTGCACAAATGAAAGGCATTCCACATGAAAAACACAGCACATAGGTCTACACCAAGCACTAAACTCAGACCTAATCTATGGAAGTGAATCATGGATGGTCAGCATATTAGTGAGAAAATAAGTTGAAAAAGATGTGTGAGGAAGTGAAAACACAAACTCTTCACGGCTGCAACAGTTCACATGACCATAATCATTACTAAGTTAAATGCTAGACATTCCATGGCAGCTAAGGACGCATTTTTCCACCACAAAGTGTCTAAAATAAAGTTCTGGTACCCACTACAAAGTATCTCTTACAGCAGACTTGGAAAACTTAGGCCTAAAACAGCTGCCGGTGCTGTGTGAGAAAACAAGCCCTGGACATGACCATTATTACTGGGCTTTTTGTTTCCTGTGTGGCTTCCAGGGCCCTATTTTAAGGAGGGGGTGGGGGTTACAATCCACTGCTTTCTGGCCTCCACCACAAACAAGCATGTTACAATAGGTGACTAATTAGGGCTTTGCTGAAACTGGATGCTTTAGGCCAAAAGGCACAGACACTGCTGTCTAGCTGTAAACCAGAACACAATGTAATAACTGCCCCTTTGAGGGCAAATGCAGAGAAAGACAAATTAGGGTGTTAAATACAAGACATTTCACAGTTGTTGGTTTTTTGACCATCACAAGTGATGCTGACTACTTCTTTCATCCAATGGTGAATGGGATAGGTTTTGTGAGTGCCCAGATGGCTGATAAGGCCAATTCTAGCACTGAAAGTTCTTGAGCAATGTGGACAGGGAACTGAGGCTGCATCTCTCTGGTGATTTGCTTTAGTGTCTTTCCTGGTTTGCCTTTTCTGAATTGCTGCTGCAGTTCTAGCAGCTTCATGGGCTACACCTCCTCGATGAAGAGCTGTAAAAGCTGATGGAAACATTATCATTGTGATGTGAAGTACCAGATATTTCAAAGCTCCAAAGGCTGTGTGAACAGTACCACTGGGGTATGAAAGGATAGTATCCTTATGGATCCAAAGGTTAAAGTGATCACTTCTACCTACTGGGATATGATATGCTAGATTCTTTACAACTCCAAAAGCTGGTATGACCACTATTATTGGGAAGTGAAATGCTAGACACTCCACATCTGCATCTTGTTACCCCCCCCTCCCCCCCCCCCCCCCCCCCCCCCCCCACCAACAAGCAGATCTTAAAAGTCAACTAATTAGAAGTCCGTGACCTCATCGATTCAATTAACACAGAACACCTAATGACAAACTAAATTTAACAGCTGTTTGTCTTCCACATTTTCTAACACACTTAACAAATATACTGTTTAAAGAAAACAAAAACATAGTTATATGATGCCACGTTTTTATTAGTTTGTAAATAAAATATTGTACTTGGGAACGTGAAAAGCAGACTAAAATGTTGTTTACCGTGTCCAGTGGGCATGAATTGTGTGTGTTTTTGTCATTGTTACAATGCAGTGGTCAATTGTGTTTATTTGTGAGCATAGCTCATGATATGCGCACGAGAATGCAACATAATTTAGGGTGAACACTATTCACTGCCTATGCAATTGAAACCCTACAAAAGGATAACGCTACACCTAAACATTCAGTTCATTTTCAAGCAGTTATGAATGGCGCCTACATGGATAAATTTAAGTCGACTTTGGCACCTGTTCCAAACCACTGGTTCAGCTAAAGACCGCCATCGCAGTAGATCACCCAGAGTGACAACAGCAGCAGAGAACTGCTTTATTCAGCTTCATCAGCTCAGAGACAGGTTTACAACAGCTCAGTCAGCTGTGCAGGCACTGCCTATAGGAGGTCATGTGTCTGATCAAACTGTTTGGAAAAAAACTGCCAAAATCGACTTCTCTGGGCCAGCCAACATCGTTCCTGGGTAGGTGACAATCAATGGAGACTGTCTGGTTCAGTGACAAATCTTTCATTTTGTTGCAACGTCATGACAGACAGTGTGGGGTCTACCGTAAACGAAATGAAATTTTAGGCCAAAAATGTGTCGATGAAGCTCTGCTGCATAGTGGTGGAGGTGTTATGGTGTGGGGAACGATCAGTTACAACAGAATAAGTCAATTGGTGCACACTGAAGGAAGCTTAAGTGTGCAACGATATGTCAGTGAAATTCTTCGACTACATGTCCTTCCATTTTGGGATGCCAACAGGTATCTTTTCTCAACAGGACAAAGCCAGACACCATTCTGCACAGCTGACCACACAGTTCCTAGCTGCCAATAACATTCAAACCCGTCCCTGTCTGCAGACATGAGTCCGATTGAGCACCTGTAGGATGAGCTGAGATGTTGCTTCAGCCAATGGTCGTGATCTGTTCCAGGCACTCCAGGAAGAGTGGGCAGCCATCCCACAGGCCCACATCAGACATCTGATCTCATCCATGCCCAGGAGATGCCAGTCACTGATCCACGCAAGAGGAGGCCACACATCATACTAACAGGAAAGGCTGCATGCCTACAATTATCGTGACCCAGATGAAAAAGAACGCGTCAATTGACTAGTGGAACCCTAATGTATTCTTGTGTGAAATGTTAGTAATTTCACTTACTGCATTACAAAGATGCAGAATGTAAAAATTGTAAGCATGTATGTTCCTTTCAGTAGCTCTGTGTTTTTTTTTTTGGGGAACAGTTTATAAAATAAAACCTAAAAATACACAGAGAAAGTTAAAGTCAAGATGACTGACCTCAATGCACTGGGTTTTATCCCATCCAGCTCAGTATCTCTTCACATAATAGCTAGCCGCCTGCTGAGAGCCCTGCATCAGGCACAAACTCCGTAGCTCTGATTACGATCCCACAGCTCACCATAAAATTGCAATTGTGAACTGAAAAACTCAGCTGTGAAATACGTTCATGACCTTCAGAGCGTAAGACAAAGAACTTGACCACCATGAAGCCCCCCAGAGAAAGCAACTAGAGATATAAATATTATGAAGAGGGAAAAGAAAGCACTGAAGGAGATGGAAAATGACAGGATGACAGGGCATTAGTTTGTTGTGGTCAGTGCTCCCATCGGGGATACAGGGCAAAGTGAAGGAAGAGAATGAGGGAAAAGAAAGAAGAGAGAAGAAGAGGCAAGATGGCAAACATCACTCACCAGGTATATACAAGTCTGGAGCATTAATCTCATATCTTGGTGCTACAGGTTCATCTTGGTTATAATGCACGGACCAATCCTAGTTAGGAGTGACAACAAATATTGAGTAATATAGATCATTTGTAAATTCCATGCAACTGCAAAAGTTTTATACTTTAGGGAAACTATTACAAATTTCTACAACTACCAGGCAACAACAACAACAACAATGGGCAACAACAACAATGATCAACAAATTTAAAACTCAAAAGAACAACCTCCACCAGGCAGTAACAGAAGACATATTTTACAATTTACCCATTCAGCAAGAAAGCAGATTCTCCATGCAGTAACACAGCGGATCTTTTACACTTCTAAGTGGCACAAACAAAAACCACAGATCCTTTATACTTCCAAGTGGGGAAAAAACACACACATATCTTTAACACTTCTGTGTAACAAGAGAAATGGGAGGACATCAAGAGATGGACAAACAACAAACAGCCTGAGACTCTGTACATGCAGTATGAGAGACAAAAGTGGGAGATCCACTGCAGTCAACCTTTATTTTGAAGATAGTACCTGAGACTAACTGAGGCTAGGAGTAAACGATCTCTTGTAATGTCCATTTTCAACACACAGGCACAAATAATATTATAGTCTAGAATATCAGTGTTGTCGAGACAAAAACATCAAAAAAATCACAACACATCTAGCAAATGTTTTTTTTTTGGGGGGTTCATATTTTATATTTCATTATGAAAATATCTGCAGCTAAAAGATAGAGTACGGATATGAATGTAGACCCACTGTATTTACTGCTGTTGAGGTGTGAAGTATTAGGCCTTCACACATTATAGGCCAGTAGATATGAAGCAGGATGGTCAGTTCCATCCCTTCTCACCTCTCTTCCCTAAAGATCCTTTACCCTGCTTTCATGCGTACTGGGCATAGAGTGCTAGACCTATATTTTATAGACACTCGGTGGATGGTGTGGTCAACATCATACCAACTGAATTTACTTCCAAGGACTTTAACTAATACCCATTTAAGGCTGGGTCAAGCGGAGAGAAGAAGTGATCTGTGAAAAAAAAGTCCAGCTCTGCTCGGATTTGAACCCACCATCTTCAGATCCACAGGCAAGCATCTAGCTGTTATACCATGACGGCTCCCCTATCTTTCCTTTAAAACTACAACATTCTGGAGATTAAGTACAGATATACTGCAACATATCAACCTCGTTAATAACTTACCGCATGGGTATATGGAAAGAATAAAAGACCTAACTTCTTGCCAACATAAGCTGTATCAACTGCAAAGTAGTACTTCAGTTTGGATGAGGCCATATATTTTTGTATCTGAAAAACAAAAATGAAAATAAAAATAAAGCAGGTGCACACTCAATCATATAATTTATATGTTAAATCTTTGTCGGAGCCTCCACTGTTTAAATGTGTTATGAATATTTTGTGACAAACATCACTGTAAAGATAGCAGCCCTAAATCCTTAGGCTCACGACCACCTGTCTACACAGACCTAAAAAAAATTGTAAAACAGACAGTAGTGACAGCGACAGTGAAAATAGTGATTTTATGAATTCTGGTTTGTAACTGTTATTTAAAGGGTTCACTTAAAATCCGTCCTGCCGCATCATACGCACATTAAACATGATCCTGCCATAGTAATGTGATAAGTACTGACCAATAGGTCACCTCCGCTGGAGGTGCTTATCGTCGCATGATGCATAGATCATGTTTGTGACCACTGAAAAAATGGCCGGCTGATCTAAAATTGTGTAAAGAAGCTCAAAGAGCAATGGTTCAGTTTTGTTCCTGACTTCTGGTTTAGAAATGGCAGTGCCAAGACGTTTTTGCTGCAAAATGCGATAGTATTATTAAAATGTACACTTTATCAGTGTTTTTTCCTGACTTCTGGTTTAGAAATGGCAGTGCCAAGACGTTTTTGCTGCAAAACGCGATAGTATTATTAAAATGTACACTTTATCAGTGTTTTTTCCTGACTTCTGGTTTAGAAATGGCAGTGCCAAGACGTTTTTGCTGCAAAACGCAATAGTTTTATTAAAATGTACACTTTATCAGTGGGTTTTCCTGACTTCTGGTTTAGAAATGGCAGTGCCAAGACGTTTTTGCTGCAAAACGCGATAGTATTATTAAAATGTACACTTTATCAGTGTTTTTTCCTGACTTCTGGTTTAGAAATGGCAGTGCCAAGACGTTTTTGCTGCAAAACGCGATAGTATTATTAAAATGTACACTTTATCAGTGGGTTTTCCTGACTTCTGGTTTAGAAATGGCAGTGCCAAGACGTTTTTGCAGCAAAACGCGATAGTATTATTAAAATGTACACTTTATCAGTGGGTTTTCCTGACTTCTGGTTTAGAAATGGCAGTGCCAAGACGTTTTTGCTGCAAAACGCGATAGTATTATTAAAATGTACACTTTATCAGTGTTTTTTCCTGACTTCTGGTTTAGAAATGGCAGTGCCAAGACGTTTTTGCTGCAAAACGCGATAGTATTATTAAAATGTACACTTTATCAGTGTTTTTTCCTGACTTCTGGTTTAGAAATGGCAGTGCCAAGACGTTTTTGCTGCAAAACGCGATAGTATTATTAAAATGTACACTTTATCAGTGTTTTTTCCTGACTTCTGGTTTAGAAATGGCAGTGCCAAGACGTTTTTGCTGCAAAACGCGATAGTATTATTAAAATGTACACTTTTTCAGTGTTTTTTCCTGACTTCTGGTTTAGAAATGGCAGTGCCAAGACGTTTTTGCTGCAAAACGCGATAGTATTATTAAAATGTACACTTTATCAGTGGGTTTTCCTGATGCTGTTAACAACTCCAATACATCTAAAACTGACTCTAACCCCAACCCACCTATGCTCCATGAGAGAGTGCATCCTAGGTACCACGAATGCATGCATTCTAGGTCCTACGAATGGATGTAGCCTAGTTCCCCTGACTGCATGCAGTCTATCTACTACCCCTTGAAATATTAGACTGTCCCTAGCTTCATGTAAATAAACTGTAGAATGAAAAGTGTAGATAATTGTTGACTCTCCCTTGTAAATGCAATACATACTACACTGAGACACATGAAACTGTTTGCCACACATGTGTGCAGCCTAATTCACATGAAATCTTCTTACTGCATTTGTCTAAAGAAAGTTAGTTGCATATCCTTTACAGGATATTGCAAACCAACCATTAATCAAGAAATTAGGCAAAGTAAATTGAAAAACATAATTTAACACTAAAAAAAAGAAAACAATTCAAAACAAATGCTCACATTCTGATTGACCAAGTCTTTTCCCTGTCCCGCCAGAGTCTGCCCATACTGCATGGCCATTCCTGCTAGTGGATCCCCCAGGAACTGCTGTCCTGGAAATAATGCAGCACCTGGCACCTGACCTGCGTAGTTTCCTTGAGTGAAAACTGTGAAAAGAATGATTAACGACAATAAGTATATGGGGTACCGGTTGGCTCTGTGGCTGAGTCGATGCGAACGCTTTGTAATGCTGGGTTGCCGGGTTCAATCCCAGCTGCAGGCCATGCCTTTGTTTCAACAGTGGTAACAAGAAAGCCGACCGTCAGAAAGCAATGGCAAACTGCTGTACGTAAATTTGCCTCGGAAAAAAAACCACACAACAGCCAGGGGCTGTTGTGGTTGGTTCTGCAACGTCCTGTAAAGGATACGCAACTAACCTATATGGGTACCAGGTCAACTCTTGAGAAGAAAAAGTGGCCTACATGATGCTGAGGACATTGCCCATCCAGTGCCAATAATTTGCTGCTGGCCTTAAACAAATGTTTACTTTTACCAACTGGTTTGCATGAAGTCCTAATCTTCTTTATCTTCTGAAAGAATTCCCTGTCATGTGGTATCAGTCATCACATCTTTCCACAGTCTGCTGTCATTTGTACTGCTAATTATTTTTGGTACAGATGTCCCTCCATGCTATGATGCCAAAGTAACATATGTTTTCTTGGTTTCTTTCTGATTTCCTTTCCCTTCAACCTTTTTTTTTAAATGCAGACCAGGCCCCTAGCCTTGGTTGGCAGCCTATCTCGGAGATAAAACTGATGGGCAGACACAGCTCCCATGCCTCTCTATGAATGAATGAGTCAAGAATTGACATCACTGGAATTGGGACATACCCACACGTGCTTCATTCCCTTGTTTAATAACCAACGAAGAGTCGACATGCTAATAGTACCAATCCCAACCTGATTAAAAGTCAGCATATGTTTCTCTCTCAGTGTTAATATCCTCCAAAACCTCAACTCACCCTCGCTGAATTCCATGCCTCTCTATAACATAATATAACACCATTTCTCGTCTTCTTCTTTTTCACATTCACCGGCTGTAAACTCGGGCAGAAAGTTCTAGCTGTTCGTCCACTTCTGGACTGCAGTCCTGTTCCAGAACCTGAGTGTTGCGTGTGCATCGTTTGACAAATCTGACTCATTTGTATGCAGACTGTTGGTTCCTTGCACTCCGACTTCAAAGGAATCTCCCAATTAGTCGACTCTTACGACATGCTTTTGGGTAGGCAGTGAGTCTATTTTTGTTTTCCCTAAAACAGGGCCCAGGAACACACACTGGGAACACCATAGTCTGAAAAGATCGAAAGGTCACGGTAACCAGTTCACTTGTTCATCGATATTCCTTTCCAGCACTCAGGAGATTGGACAGGGTGGGCTTCGAGTTGGACTGGCCAAAAAAAAATGTAATCATACCACTGCAGGGTTTTTACTTCTGCGCTGAATTTGTTTGTTCTGTTTATTCAAGGACACTGCTAATGTGATATTTTACGATGACAACAAGATTTAGGAAAAGATAGATGAATACAACACAGTTTATCAGTTCTCTTTGTAAGTTGTTTCAAATCTTCATTGCATATTTTATCTGTTTATGAAGTTTTCTTCACTGTTATTCAAAACCATATAATGACATCTACACAATTTCTCACTAGCCTGCCAACTGACTGACTAATAACATTTTATCTGTATCCTTTTTTTTGTTAGTTACTGGATAAAATGTAACATGTATTGTTTAAAACATATCTGGCTGACCCCATTTTTACAGAAACGGTTGCATCCCTTTTCCTTACATCATGACCTAGTATATGTTCTAACTTAATGTATTAAACTCATCCTGTTCTGCATAAAACATATATGGCTGACCAAAGGTTTGCAGGAACTGTTCTGTCCCACTTCACTATATCTGGCTAACCAAGGGTTTGCAGGAACTGTTGCGTCCCACTTCATTATATCATGATCTAGTATATGTTCTAGCTAAATGTGTTAAACTTACCCTGTCCTGACTTAGTATATGTTCTAGCTAAATGTGTTAAACTCACCCTGTCCTGTATAGAACATATCTGGCTGACCAAGGTTTTGCATAAATTGCTGCTGCTGCTGATTTTGCAAATTGAAATCATTCTGAGCTTGCTGCTTCTGTTGACTACTTTTACTTCCTTTTGTCCGTCGTTTCTGACTGGCTGAAATATAACACAATTTATGTATAGCCGAATCTGGTTACAAAGTATTTATAATAGTAGAATATAATATTAATTCTAACATCAAATCTGTGCAGCAGTGTGGAGGGGAAATGTGGAGAATACCAATTAAAGTGATTACTAGTAAACTAGAAACATTCATTAACTGGCGCCTTCGCAGAATAGAGGGAATTAAATGGTAATATAGAATCAATAATGTAGAGCTTTTAGAAAGAACTAAATAAATTCCAGTGAACCAACAGGTGAAGAAAAGACGCTGGCATTGGAAATGACACATGTTGAGAAAATCTGTGAACAATATAACTAGACTGTTTTTGCACTGTAACCCACAGGGGCACAGAAATAAAGTCAGACCAAAAAAACAATTGGAGAAGGGAGCTAGAAGATGAAGTTAAAAATACTTTCTTTTTCTAAATCTTACAGTCATCATATCACTTCAGTAATGTTCAACAAAAAACAAGATTAACACAAAAGTTGACACCAAACATTGGTAGGATTTAGTTTTTTTGTTTGCTTAAACAGCATAGCTCTGAAGGGTGCTGGAATGAAAAAGTTTATATTTTTGGGGGCTAAAGAAACCCTCGTACTGTACAAAGAAGATATTCTGAACACTATTTATGAAGGTTTCTGCATTGTCTCGAGGCATGGTGTCCGCCTCAAGCGCTAGAGGTTCTGGGTTCAATCTCTGGAAAGGGCAGGGATTTTTTCACGTAGACATGCACTTCTAGTAATTTCCCCTGGTCTCTAGATAGTGAGATCGGATGCTCGTGTGCATTGGTGAGCACAGAAAAAAATTCCTTGGCAGTTGGAAATCGAAAAGAGTAGCCTAACGGCGCTGCCCAGACAAAATTTGGAATTAAAAATCTACCCAAAGTATTTCAGGATCCTCGCCTGTGCACTGTGCTGAGCTTCTTCGTAATTAGACTAGAGTTAGAAGAAGAACAGAGCACATATGAGTTACTACCTGTGTGCCATGACGTTGACCCGTTGTTCAAACTTCAACTACTATTTATTAATGAGTGAGGACACATGGTTAGATGAACTAACATGTGTAAGAATGTGTGAATGTTGAATCAGGTGTGGACCCAACGAGGAGGAACGTATGAGAAGAGAACAACATGAGTTTAAGCAATGTGCTACAGAAATAGCATATATACCTTAAGAAAGTTGCTGTAAGAGACAAAGCATCTATACATATGATTGGTGTGCTATGACGTCAATTCTTAAATCAGTAAATCCCTGTATGGGTTACGGGGCCCCAAAGTGGGGGAAAACAAGAATAGACCCACTGTCTGCCAAAAAGAATGTTGTAAGAGTCAACCAATTTGGAGCTTCCTTTGAAGTTGGAGTACATCTGCCTGAGAGACACGGAACCCACAGTCTGAATGCAAATGTGAAACGGATGTGCATGCAACACTCAGTTTCTGGAACATGACTAGAGTCTAGAAGTGGACAAACAACCAGAACTTTCTGCTGGAGTTTACAGCTGGTGAACGTGAAGAAGAAATCAGTAATCAGGAATGATGAGCAAGTGACCTGGTTACACCTTGCTTATTTAGAGCACATACATGTGATTTACAATATTTGAAACATTAACGTAGTCTCATCTTTCATGAGATGACCTACACTTTTGAATTCTTAAACAAACTGAATATCGGTTGCACACATATACTATGTGCCTCCCCCACACACAAAAACCAATCACCGTCTTTTTTTTTTTTAAATGGCTGCTGTCATCAATTCAGAAAAGACTGCTGTTTTGTGCTGCTCTCTAGACAATAGAAATGTAAGAGCTGATGTTCCAAGCCTCACAATTAACAAAATTAACATCAAAACAGAAAGCGACTGAGGTACCTGGGTATCATTTTCGATAGAAGCCTGTTCTTTAGCGATCATGCGGAGGCAGTTGCGGTGAAATGCCAAAAATGACTCAATGCTCTCAAGATTATGGCAGCAATGGGCATGAAGCAAAGAATGCTGTTTACCATGATCCAGCATGTGATCCTGTCGGTGATAGATTATGAGCTTTGAATGCTTACCATATCAAAGAGTCAGCTGATGAAACTTGAACGCATACAAAATGAAGCCATGCAGCTAATTCTGGGATGTACAAAAGATATCCCGGTAGTGTGTAGATAGGCTCAAAGTTCTGCAGGCAAAGTCAAATCTTAGAGTAGCTTCAGACAAGAGTCACCTCCTGCATGAAGCCCTGGGTACAGCTAAGGGTCACAGACTCAAAAGAAGAAAGTCTTGGATGGCACAAGCAGAAGACACAATTGGACACGTGTGCAGGCTTGATGAATTTGGGCGAGGAGAGAAGTGGGTCAAGGTGTCAGAGCAAGTTTCAGAGTTGTGTTGGGTGCTAATCACTTTAAGTCGTGAGTGCAGGGACTGACCAGCTGGTGCTGCAGAATCAGAAGTTCAACAAATGATTCATGACAATTCCCACCCAAGTGATGTGATTATCTATACAGATGGCTCTGTGCTGAGGAGAAGATGAAGTGCATGGGGGTTCATAGCAAAAGCGAATGGATGTCGCTTAGTGCAATAAAGCCTTGCATATGATATCACAACGTCTGGTTTTAGAATGGAGGTGGAGGCAGTCATTGCTGCCTTCCGCTTGGTTGAGAATCAGCTGTACACACATGCCGTGATTTTAACTGACATACAGAGCATGTTGAGAAAGGTGGAGACAGGCATGCTCCGTGCAGAGAGGCAAGCATCGCTTCAGAGGTCCAGGGTAGTCAGTGGCTCTTTGATATTTTCTCCATGTCATGCCGGTGTTGGGAAATGAGCAGGCAGATAGTCTTGTTGGCTCTGCACCATTTGATGGTGAATTGATGTATGACAAGCAAGACATTGTGACCAGTGATGGGGAACAGTGCTTATTGGAATATCCTGAGTGCTGCAAAGTCAGTTTTTCAACTAAATTCCACATAAATTACACAGGTAATATATTTCATCATAGGTGATGTATTTCATATAAATTTTTAAAACATACTATTTGAAAAGTACTATTAACTTACATTTTGGAGCTCTGTATTCTGGTGGAGCATCCATAGTGGATTTTCACTAAGGAAATATCACAAATAAAAGAAACAGCTTGATTGTGTAGATTCCCCCTCACTTTTTGCAAGCAAACACTTTAGATCTAGCTATATGTAATAAATAAAAATATAAAAAATGAAGCAACAGAAAATTATTACATATTGTAACATACACAGCATATACACATAAAACACAAACCAAAATGTGACCACGGCCCACATACAAATCTATTAAAACATACATTAGGTATTGAAAGGATTTAGTCTGGATAGTACATGTGTGTTAAAAGAAAATATGCCCCACGTACCAGCTCAAAAACTACATCACACATTTTCTACATACACTCACTGTCTCATCCAACACAATTTTATCTAAAATCTTTGTCACAAAAAGCTCTTTTTTAGTTAGTACTTATTTCTGATGGCTACACACATGTCAGATATTGTACTGGCCAGAACAAAAATGTGATTTACATTTATACTGGAGATACATCAGTTAGTTATTTGGCTATCTTCCGAATAACGGGCATAAAAGATGGCGGACACAAAAACACCCTGACAGAGCCTCAGTCACGTGTCAATTGCGACTGTTTTCCGGCGACTACCTCCACCGCCGAGAGTATCCCCCACGCCGCTAGCGCGGCATAGATTGGGGGTAAACTAGATGGCTGGGACTCACGAGCAGCAGCTTCCGCATCTCCTGCAGCTTTGCTTGTGAGTACTAGCCATCTAGTTTAGCCGCAATCCACGCCGCTAGGATACTCTCCTAGGTGGCAGTAGTCGCCGGAAAACCACAAATTAGGTCGCTGGAAGTGCGCAATTGACACGTGCCAGAAATTGCACATGTTGTTTATGAGTGTGGCTTTGTGAAGCTCTCTATCCAGAACTTTCGTATGTTGTCTATGAGTGTAGCTTTGTGAAACTGAGTGGTTCTAGTTTTTGTTTGCTTTGATATGTTTTCAGAAATGTTTAAGTCTGCAGGGAAAAAAACTAAACAAAAATGTTAGGAGAAATACTGATCACAAAAGCTAAATAGTGGGGTTTAGGCTCTCCTTGCAATAACGGTCGCTACTTGGACGGCGACTTAGTCGGAGTTCAGTCCCCTGGCTGCAGTGCAATTACGGAGTGGAAAAGAGGGAACGACACAAATGACATAATTAGGGCTAGGGGTAGGGTTAGGTTAATGTGAGTCGCAGCGCATGGTCTAGATGCCATGTTGAACTCACTGTGTTTTGTGATTCGTGCCTTGTCCACTCCAAAATTGCACTGCAGCCAGGGGACTGAACTCCGACTAAGCGGCTGTCGCTGTCCAAGTAGCGACCGTTATTGCAAGGAGAACCGTGGGGTTCTCAACAGATTTCGTTCCACCTTGTACTGTTCCAAACAGAGTACACACCCACAACCAACTCATTGTTTATCACTCAATCTTTTAATATCACATTTAGCCAAGGCTATGAGTTTCTCCCATTCTAGTCTCTTGTGTGTTGGGAGGAAACGGAAGGGAGAAGGGTATCAGTGTTGTTCCCCTCCCCCCCCCCCCCCTCAATAATTTGTATTATTCAGTCAGTCAGGTCAGTCACAAGCAGAATTAAAACATAATCACACAGCTTATGGCTTATGCAGAATTTAAATGACATTAGTATCCCAATAAATTGAAATTGAGAAAAAGTTATAAAGTTCGTTTAATTATGAATAATCTATTAAAAATTAATCATTTATGTATGTCTTGAGTCTTGAGTAAAATTTAAAATGTAAAATTAAATTTAAAATCAGAGAAAATGATAAATATAAAATAAATCCAAGGCCAAGTTAGTCCAAAGTACTAACTATGACATAAGAGCAACAGAGCCATATATAGAACTAGACTTGTCTCTAGATAATAATATTATTATAAACCAGGGCCTACAATCTTCAACACTGATTTATTTTTTTCTAGCAATCACAATGTTACGAAAATACTGAATGTAACAGTAACAGTACCCATTCCTGGGTCGAAATCAAGCGGAAGTGCGAAAAGCTGGAGTCAGCTGTAAAATAACTAGAGTGTTTTCCCTTCAACAAACGAATCGTGTATCATCATCATCCTGTCTTTCAGTCCCATGAAACCCATCATACGTTCCTAACATAGATTTCTACCTAGACGCCCAGTGAACGCAGGATACGTCTTTTTAGCGGGTAAGCTGGGCCTCTAACGCTAAGCCCCGTGGGGTTTTTACATCACACATGGATTCTTTTCCGTTCTCTCCTGCACAATCTTTTCGAAATCATGGATATAATCCATTACAGCACCTTTGGTCCCTCTCATCAACATCCGTCAGGGTTTCTCAGAGACGTCCTCGTTCCTCAGTCCACATTTCCATTTTCAGTGCCTCTTTAATGATTTTCTATCTGATGCTTATGATCGCACCTTCAGGTAACACGTCGGTTAAAAAAGAGCTAACCAGTCACTGTTTGGAGCCGTGGCAATTTTTTTTTTTTTTTTTTTTTTTTTGCTTTTGCCAGATGGTGGCCGTTGTATTTGTGCTCCATTTGTAGACTGAAAGGATATACTTTCTTCACCCAGCTTTAGAGTTGAGGGCATGGCGTGACACTGTGAGCTGCGGTTTTCATTTGGAAAGTTTTTCGACTGTGACCAACGTAGTTGTGTGAATTGTAGATTAAGAAAATGGCGTGATGCCTGTTGTCGCAATATCATTGGTGCCATTATGTGATTAAAACTGATCGCATGTGCAACTGACGATCTGTTGGTGATTTCTGTTACTATCCATGACGAACTGAATTTCTAATGTCAGACTGTTTGTGTTAGCACGTCGGATGTCTACCGAATGCCTTTAATGCATGTGTATGTTAGTGCATATGCTGAGACAGCAGTCTGTCAATCTTTACACAAGAGACTGTGATAAACATTCTGTGTGTTTTTCGTTGGCACAGGAGCGGAGCAACTATGAAGTGACCCGTTTGTTATGAAGCTGAAACTAAGATTACCAGATTAACACATCAAATCAGAAAAACGGACAGACGAACAGCCTGAACGTGCAGTAGTTGTTTTGCGAAGGACTCTGAAAGATAGGCTATACAGCTAACGTAATTGGTAAGCAGCACGTTAAATGATATTTACAGCGGTAAGTCCGTAAGATTGCAAGACGTACGAGGACACAGACGAAATGTAGACTGTTGGCTTTACAAGAGTGAAATCATAACTATCATGACCCGTAGTGCGGTGACTTTTGTCACAGGCATGAGAGAAAATAAGAACAGCCGTGGCGTGTATAAGAAGACACTCCGCACCTCACGTTGGGCGCCAGTTAGCTCTGAAGCTGGTTTTACGGATCCTCATGCAAAGCACTCCTCCCCCAGGACAAAATGGAGCCATTAGATTCATATCGGCTGCATAAAAGACACCTCGTGCCATGCCATGCGGTATGTCCTGGATTTGCCGACGATGGCGACCAGACATAAAGTGACACAGTGTGCAAATGAAGATGCGGATATCGGCAGACAAGCAGACATCAACCACCCAATGCACAACGTTATCAGTTATATAAAAGGGATGCAGAAAACCTAATCCAGCAGGTATGTGACCTAGATGAGATCAGTCACGGAAAAGAACGGACAGATACACCAGTAGACTTGCATGACGTGTCTAAGGTAGCCATACCACTTGGAAGGTACTGCAGGAATCATATACCTGCCACCGTAGACGCAGAAGTTAGGGCGCTGATTGATCAGCACTCACTCCCAAAAGACGTCGTCATTTACACAGATGGGCCCGTGAAGCGTGGGTCAGCATGGGCATACACAACACAAAGGATGGGAAAAACAATAAAAGGATAGCGGCGCTTACCAGACGACTACATCACACATGACCATGGAGATAACTGTTACTTCCAGAGCACTTGTGTTGGTAGCAGAACAAGCGGCCATACATGTGTTAATCGTGTTAGACTCTATGACATAACATAACATGGGTAATAAAGTAGATAGAAAACTTATTTGGAATCTGAGTGAAGTTCGCTTGGCGAGTTAATAACAAACTTAGATCCTTCTTCTTCTTCGTGTTCACCAGGTATAAACTCTGGCGGAAAGTTTTGGTTGTTCATCCACTTCTAGACTGCAGTCCTGTTCAAGAACCTGAGTGTTGCGTGTGCAAAACATTCTGCATGACCTGAACATCAAGGGGAACTGGCTTGTGAACAGCACCTTCTCCCCAAATCTGACATATTTTGGACACGTCAAGCGCCACAGTGGTCTGGAGAAAACAGTGATGGACGGTACAGTTTCCGGAAAACGATGCAGAGGCCGACCTTCGCGAAAGTTGACACAAGACACTGAAGATGCATAGGCTATGAAAGCATACATGGCTGGACAATTGGCTAGAGAAAGAGAGACTTTCAGGCCTATCGTAAGGAGAGGACATGCTGGCTATACTGGTGAACGAGGTTTCCCAGATTTTTACCTGCTTGATCCCGTCCTTTTAGATGTTAATCCAGCTGAGAGTAAATCTAGAGGGGGTCGGGGGCATAGAAAGAAGGATCGTACAGGGAATACATGTTTGATGCACGCTTCCCATGAATCATCATTATCTTGTTTTGTTTTGTGTTATTATCCAGAAGCCATGAGTTGTTAACCCTTTGGCTCTGTATTATGGATATCGCAACCTTTCTGCCTTGATTCCATTGTAAATACCGTAAATCTGGAAGAAATGTGGCTTTTCTGCCTACCCCCGGGAGTGAACCCGGACCACAAGGAGTTCGTCACCCGGTCACCGCGCAATCCGGTTTAGCCAACTACGCTAGAGAGCCGGGCAATCATCATTATCAAATGCCTTGCCAGCTGGCGTAGATGTTCATGCATTGCCATAGATCTCGGTCTTTGGTGTTCTGGATCAATTCTACTGATGATATTCCCCCACGCTGTCTTAAGCCATCCACCATCATTTATCTTGGTCTACCTATGCCTCTTTTACCAGTGATCTTTTCAGTCATCACGATATTTTCCAGCGCTTATTTTCTT